CAGAAGAAGAGCCTTCTATGCTGCAATGCTCACCCCTTGGAATATCTTACATCTAAGGCAGGGGTGTCAAACTCAAGGCCACGGGGGGTGGATCCGGCCCATGGGGTGCTTAGATCTGGCCTGCGGAGCCTCCCTGGAAACAGCGAAGGACCGACCTGTGGTGCTTCTGACAGCGAAACCACATGCGGTCCTTCCGAGCTCTGTTTTTGCTGGCAGAGGGTTGCAGGAGGCCAAGGCAGTCAAAAACGGAGCTCGGCTGGCCTGTGCGGAAGCAGATAGGCTCACTCTTGAACTTAAAAATAAAGGGGAATCAGAATATTTTGAAGTCTGGAACAGATTTTATGATTGGTATAAGACAAGGTGACAAGACTGGAACAAATTGTATATATTGTGATTGGACAGACGGATAGACAATGTCTTAAGTAGGCTAATAGTTAATGGTTGAGACTAGCTGTATATAATGTGAATGTATGGTCACTTCGACTTCACGGTACTGCACTGTTTTAAATGTAAAAACAATAAAAATATATTTTTAAAAAAATGGAGCTTGGGAGCCCCCTTTCACTGACAAGCGCTCAGGCTGCCCCAGGTGGTGATGTCAAGCTGGCTACACCCACCCTGGCCACACCCACACCACCTCTCTGAGGTCAAACACAACCCTGATGCGGCTCTCAATAAAATCGAGTTTGGTACCCCTGCTCTAAGGTAAAACCTGCCTCCCACCCTCCAATCCTTCCACAAGAGCCTAAAACACTTGGCTCTGCCAGTTGGCCTGGAGACCAGATGAAGGAATTCTATACTAGAGGTGGCTGATAAACTGATGGCAGACTCCCCCTCCCTCCCCCTTGTGCTCTGCTCGCCACCTGCCCATCTTTTTTGGCTATCGTATCGATGTATCCTAATTGTGTTCCTTTTTCATTATTTATTTTATGGTTCTATTATATTACTTCGTTTCTGTTTCTAACTCCTTTTATTTTCTTCCTTTTTATTATAGTAAGCCACCTAGAGCAGTCCCACAAGGAGTTAAGCGGTAAATAAATTTAGCAAATAAATAATTTGTACAATCATTGCTACCTCTAAGTTGATGAAGCGCCTCATCGATTGGATCACTTCGGTCCAGATATCGTTTTGCCTTGGCCTGCATGATTGCATCGAAAGACTCCCGTGTCAACCGCTGGGAGGCCATCTTGACTCTGGAACTAAAAGTGAGGAAACTTAAGAATATGCATTCCCCAGTGACATCTCTTTATCTTATAGCTTTCACAAAAGACAGCTCTAAGTAAGATTTCTAAATCATCAATCATTCAAGGCCAGCATCAGGCTTGGAAGCCATTTTTCACAGTGGGCCTCAAGCTGCCACATATTCTACTACTGTGGGAAACTGGGAGAGGGGATTGTCTGGGGCATGCGAGCTGTGTAGTCAAAATGAGATTCTTTCTCAGGAAGTCAAGGTCATCTGGCCTCAGGATCTGGAGGGGCCATACGCTGGGAGGAATCTCTCTGTGGGACAGTGACTTATTGGACAATGTGAGGACATGTGGGTGCTGGTGCTTTCAACTGCGTGCAGAAAACCTGGAAGCTCTCAAGATTCGGGTTTTCCCAGATGTGTCCAGTTGAAAGTTCAAGACCCTGCCCCAGCACCCACATGTCTTCACATGGTCCAATCAGTCACTGCCCCACAAAGAGATTTCTCCCAGCAGTCGGCCCTTCCAGATACCCTTGACTGTCTTGAGAAAGAATGCCATTTTGACTACACAGCTCTCATACCTCATACAATCCCCCCTCCCAGTTTTCCACAGTAGTAAAATATGTGATAGGCTTGAGGCCAGCTGTAAAAGATGGCTTCCAAGCTTGACATCCAGACTTGCTTAAATTCAGCAGAGCTGTTCTTTTATGTGGGAAGAATCAACCACCTGGAATAAAAAGTAAGAGTTGTAGGAACTCTGGTTTACACTGAATAAACTAGTTTGCTTAGAGCACTATCGAAATTCAGTAATATTGCTCTTGACTGCATCAAGACCATTAGAGGAAGAAAACATTTAGAAAGGCATTTAATTTCCCCCCAAAATCCAAATGCAACCAAATTAATTATTTTCTGACAAGAATGGTGAAAATATATATATATATATATAATGTAGGTCTCGTTATTCGGGTTTTCTCCCGCGTAACATTGGAGATGTCTTGGCGACGTTTTGATGAAGTCTCATTCGTCATCTTCAGGC